AAAACTAGTAGGCCTATTTTGCAAGAGCATAAAAAACATAGTCAACATAGTTGTTAAATATAATTTAAATTTTAATAAAAGTATAAATAAAGCTGTTGACTTAAATTAAAACAGAAACTGATTAACTTGATCCAAAGCTTTTTAAAGTCAACCTCCCCCCCCCCTCCCCCCAACCAAGAAAAATGTGAACAATAATAAAAGAAAACTATAAAGCTGTTGACTTAAATTAAAACAGAAACTGATTAACTTGATCCAAAGCTTTTTAAAGTCCACCTCCCCCCCCCCTCCCCCCAACCAAGAAAAATGTGAACAATAATAAAAGAAAACTGTTTTATTTACTTTATGATAGAATATTTAAGGCAACTTAGTTATTGGTACAGCATTCAATTCTAAATATTTGAAATCTTCTTTAAAAGAACCATTATAAATTAATGGCCTTTATCTATAACAATATTAAATAGTTCTGCAAAGTATCAAACATTGACAATCAGAAATGTCTATTTCTTAATAGCGGGTCCAGTAAGATCAATGTGTAAAGTAGGATAGGATGTCAGCTATCTGTTGCATAATATAATCATGCTTTAAAAATGTAGTTAGTAAATTTTAAACATTGTCAACTCGAGTAATTTTGACCAAGATAAAAATGTAAAAAAAAAAAAACTACATTTAATAGTGTACATTTAAATCTTATTATAGTAACTTGAAATTGTTTGCGTTTCTTTACATTTTTTACTTTGTGACAGTTGGCTCAATAATAGATAAATAAAAGATATTTAAATTCATATATATTAATTTGGATTCTCCTTTTCTCCTTTTAATATTAGTAATTAGAATTATAAAAATATGTCCAAACCTTTTGCAAGCATTTATTTAAAAATTAACAATTTCTAAATTAGTATCACTAGGTATCAAAAAGGAAATTTTAAAATTCACATATTAATGAAGTAGTTCAAACAAATAGTTTAAATAAAATGTTAAAACAACTGAACTATTTAGTAAGTATTTAGTACCGGTAACAACTAAACGCAAACAGGTCAAGGGACACATTAATTTCCACTAGCATCACTTATGTAGCTTTTTGAATAAGTGTAGAATGATGCAAAAAAATGTAATCAGGTATTTAGTATAGATAGATGGTAAAAGTGACCAGCGTTTTTAATATTTTAACAGCTTTAACTACGAGTATGGTCCAGAATTTACATTTTAAACAATTAACTTTAAAATTTAATTTAATAATATTTTTTGTAGGTGAATTCAAATATATTAGTATTAGGCCATATAAGTTTAAGAGGGGTTTTAAAAGCTGGACTTGGTGTAAATGAAATGAACAAAAAATATATGATAATGTCACAAAACTCCCACGCTGATGACTACATCACTATAAACAACCACTAATTTGAGAGAGTGGCTACATTCTAATATCCAGGGGCAACTATAAACGAGCACAATGAAATAATGTTGGCGGTGAAAGAAAGTATAACAGCAGGCAACCATTTCTATTTCAACCTACAAAAGCTACTGGGAAGCAAAAACCTCTCAAGGGTAACATAGAAGACAATATACACAACTATCCTAAGACCAGTAGTAACGTACGCTAGTGAGACTTAGTCCCTTACCAGAAAAGAGCCTGCTCAATACATGGGATAGGAAAAACTTCAGAAAAATATATGGCCCTGTATTACAATGTTGTTTGGAGAATCTGTACAAACCAAGAGCTATATCTATGTACAAAGGCCCAGCCATATTTGCAACAATATAAAAAGGGAGACTGCACTGGCAGGACATACTGAAAGGTTGCCAGATTGTAGACCAGCAACAGTGATATACAGGCAGAAACCCAGGGGCAGACTGCTCATCGGTCGACCAAGACTGAGATGGCTTGACAATGTAGAGATGGACTTACGCCAGTTGGGGGTTCACCCATGGAGGTGGAAAGCCATGGATCAATCCGAATGGAAGGATATGGTGAAGCAGGAAAGGGCCCTACATGGGCTGTGGCCCCACTGATGATGATGATATAATGATGATTTTACCAAATAAAAATGTAGACGTTCCTGAAAATGCTTTCATCAGTACAAAAACTAAACATATAAGTATAAATTAAATTTACATAATATATCTATATATATATACATACATGTATCCTTCCTTAAAAAAAGAGAGAAAAGAATAAGAGTGGGCGCAAAACCTAGACAAAACAAAGTTAAGACGAACGGAAAGGAAGTGAGTGAAAGTAAAATTTAAAAATCCAAACAGAAAAAGACATGGCAGCTATGCAAAATTGTGGATTTGGTTTATACTGTGTGGCGTCAAGTACAAAATCTTGTTATTATCTTATTTTTCCATATAAATTTTATCCCGTGCATTGCTTGTATACAGTATACCAGTAAATGCAATGTCTAAAATTCCATATGGTTAGTACTATTGAAATGTTTGGAAACTGGACAAAGGGCTTGTTTATATATGTTAATGAGGTGTTCTCTAAAACGGTCTTCAGAGGGAAAGTGATCTTGTCAACTTCAATCACATAGAGACATGTGTTACTGTGGCTACGGTTGCAACCTCTGGTGCCTGTATGTGCTTATGTAGAGGGGAGGTGACTTCTAACAAGCATGTCCCTAAGCCTCTTGTCCCTAAGCAAAAAGAGGAGGTTTTTTGAAAAATCTCATTGGTGACAGTGTCTGCCATAAGAATGGACTGGTTTTCAAGAATCAGAAAAAGAGCTTTAAGGTTATGGAGATGAAAAAGTTAAATAAATTTGTACCGATCCCTACTGTCAGAATGAGTTGTTTTAAAAGTAAAAGAATCCTGTCTAGTCATACCTTTAATTCAAGTAACAGCTGCTTTTAAAATTTGCTTAGGATATAAACTACGTTGGAAAAAATCCAACATTTCAGCCATCCTTTCCCAAAATCCTCATCATTATTGCAAAGTCTTCTCAGTCTAGGCAAATGAGAAAAAAAAGAGATGGAAATTTTACATTATTGAGGATGGGAAGATGAATATAGCAGGAAACTGTGACTGTCTGTTTTCTTATATATAATAAATGGACATATAATATATATATTTTGGTCTCGTTAAGTGTTCAGGTTAAATTTGATGTCTGAAAAATTGACATTACTTTTATGGATAGTTGAAGTGAACTTTGATTGTTGGGTGAAATTTTAATTTATACATACATTTTAATAATTAAGTCAGTAAATGTTGTTGTTGTTTTTTTTGGTACTGATGACTCGACTGATGAAGACATTTGCTGAAAGGTCTACATTTGTATTTTGTGAAATAATCATTAAAGCTGAAGACATAATATAATATTTATATTGTTTTATTTACACTTATTTTTTCTGTCTAGTCTATAATTTATCATACTTATTAAGTTATTGCTATTAATTACTAGTTAACTAGTCTGAACTAGTCTGTCTTAACTACTACTTACTACTATCACTATCACTGATCACCCCTTCTTACTACTCCGACTTCCTTACTAAATTATTAATTAACAACTGACTACTGTACTTACTTCTGATTTAGGCAGTGGTAGGCAGTCTATAATTTAATAGCCTTATGGTATTATATAATCTATAATATTTACATTTACAGTACAGTATTTTAATCATTTATAATTTAGGCATTAGGCTATTAGGCCTATAGCCTATTCTCTACTTTATATTCGAAACCTAACAATATCTTGTTCCGTTTCCTGGGTTTAAAAACCTCTACAAAGCAGGGCTACCACACCTTGGGAAATTTCCCAAGATCTTGGGAATTCACGACCCCCCTTGGGATCTGGGGAATAATTTTGAAAATCAGGCAAAACCTTGGGAAATCTTAACTGTGGGCAAGATTTTATTATATTTTTAGAAAAACGCAAACAATATACGTGATTTAAAAAAAAAAAGTGAAAATAAAGCAAACTAATTTTTATAGTAACAAGGAAAAAAAATAATTTTTAAAAAAACTACTTTTCTGGTTTTAATTTTTAAAACATATTTATAAATAAATAAGTACTCTTCTGAAATTAAAGTTAATATTTTAAATCAACAACAAGTTAATAATTAAAGAAAAATTTAATTTTCTCTTTTTTTTTTAAGTTGAAGATTTGCAAATTACACCCAGGTGTTAAATGTTTATTAAACAGGGGGGGGGGGCGGTAGACTCGGAAACTTTATCATGCGTATAATAAGACATTAGCAACTATACAAAAAAACAGTACAAATCAAAGAGTGAATGATAGTGTTCTATCAAGAACCCATAGTAAAATTGGATTATTTCAATTACTTATACAATGTGTTCAAAATATTATGCATCTTTAAAAAATCTAGCCTAATTTTCATCTATTGGAAAACGTATTTGTGGATTGACACACATGTAACTAAGATATTAAAATTATACATTGTAGGAAATAAATGAAAAATTCCTTTAATCAGTATTTCGTTTAAATAGAAACCATTACAATGTAAATTTACAAGAAAAAATAAACATACTTATTGCTTTCATAACTATCAATCCATTTTAACTACACTTATTATCAACAAATTTTGCTTAATAGCTTTGCAAACCCCACTACTAATCAACAGACTTACAATAAGAAAAAACAATTTTTGATGAAGAACCTTTTGCCTTTGTAAAAGGAATTGTGTGTTGTTTAGTCTTGTGAGCTTTGTTTCCAATTGACTTCTATTACACGTGGATTGTAGATGATATCTT